TATCCCTATTAATTTAGACCTATCACTATTCTAATCGCTTTATAAAAATTACTTGAACTCAAATTCCTACCTAAGCTTTAAGTTTCTTACATTCTGTCCAGCAAAAGAAATCAAAGGAGGATCTTCGTATAGCATAATCTTTAGTCTATATAAATGTATCATGATTATTCTCATAATCTGTATTTGATACAAGGATTTTTTCATTAGATATATTTTTTCCTAATTACTACATTCTTTTCATTTCAGCTTCTGAATATTATGTGTAAAAATTAATTAGGCTTCATAATAATAATGTATCTCTATCCCTAACTTTTCTTAGTTTCTTACTTTATCCATTATCGCCTGCAAATGTTTGACATAACCATCTCCTATCACAAATTTTAAATAGAAATTCTATTAGAGAAATTAATTTCCATCTTTGACTTATGTCTAACTGTTAGTTTTTCTATGAGACAGTTTTCGGAATCTTAGGAGTTCTTTTCGTATATCAAGTTTCTAAAATTGTGTTACTGCTTTTATTCAAATTTATTCATCTTTTTTGCTTGACATGATTAAATATCCATAAACTTAAACCCTATTAGTTCATCTTCCAAAGTTTAATATTCTCTTTAACATAGATCCTGGAAAATTTTATTAATTTAAATCTCCAATCGACCTACTATTATGAAACTTCAAAAGTTGGTATTAAAATAATAAATTTTTATTAGAAAAATTTAACATTAGCCAAGATAACTTTAAGAAATCTTCAAATTCAAGAAACTATTTTACTATTTAATTTGAATTATCTGTATTATTTATTTGAAATATCATATCTCATAAGAATCCTATAGTTATCAAGAAAAATTAAATTAAATATGAAGCCATTTTCGAACCCAATTAATTTATTTGCAAAAATTAAGTTTGAAGGCAATACCCAATAGATGATCTTAATCAATCAAATAATTATAACAAATACAAAAACCAAGTAATATACTTCAAACTAATTCTTAAATATCATAATAAGGTATTATAAAAATTAATCTTAAAAATAAATGAGTAATTAATCATAAGCATAAAATAATAATAATAATTATTTGAATTAGAATGTTCTTTATGATTTGATTGATGAACTGGGTGTTATCAGTATTATAGTACATGATCCACATACCAAAACAGGAGTGTTTAGAATTTTAGCAGATATAATTGAACCTGATTATGTTTATTCTCAAAAGTTAAATGTTTTCATCATAATTAAAATAGAGTTGAAAAAGATTCTACTATCCAAAGATTATTTAAAAAGAATTAATCTATTGGAATAAGTATCACATTTTTTTTAGATAATTTATTTATTTAATCAATAGCTTCCAATTCTGGATTTTTATAGATTAAAACTTCCACTGATGAATATTGAAGAAAGATAAATATCTCAAGAATTATTAGTATTTTTGGAGTCAATAAAAAAATCAAAGAATATTAATCCAAAACCAAAGAGATGTCTTAGATAAAAGTATAAAATAAAAAATGCTTTAGACATGTACAATTTTGAATCAATTACTAATCTTTATTATTTGAAAAATTCAATTATGATATCCTAATTAGTTGTAAATTTAAAAGAGACTTGAATATTAATTTGAAAATCTAGATTGATCATAAAAATTTAAGTAGTGAATAAAAGGATAAAATTTTAAAGATATTTTGTCTTCATTATGAATTACTTATAAATAAACATACAACCATGTTAATTTATGATGGTTAGAAAATTGTGACCATACCTTCAAATTAAAGTTGATATCATACTTCTTGATATTCCTTTACTCAGTAATACCGAATACAAGGAAGCTGAAAAGTTTATTGAATTAATCTAAACATACTGATTAGATGTTAAAATGATTAGGGATTTAGAAAAAAAAATTTACTTTCAATTTGTTTCTTAATTACTCAAAAATAAAATCACAAATAGAAAAATTGAATGAAACCATCAAGATGATGATAAAATTAGATTTATGAAGACTATTAATTGATCTTAG